AACGAATTTTGCTCTTACAGCATTGTATACAAAATGACTACAGAGGAAGAAGATTTTACAACAGTGCGCTTGCCTCCTTGTGGACCCCATCCTCGACCGCCCCAACCACCGTCGCGATTGTTGCCACCACCCCACCTTCTGCGTCCGTCATTGTTTGAACCTCCACGGCCTCGACCTGAACGATATAGTTGCAGCAAACTATGTAAAAAGTAGTTCAGATGAGTACCTCTACCACCCTGCCTTCCTCTTCCTTGTTGTCCACGCCAATCTCCTTGACCTGCACATAAATTCAGCAAATAGAACTATTATATGGGACGATAAGCACTTTACCTCTTCGTCCGCCTCCTCCTCTTTGGCGATTTTTTCCACCTCCTCTGTCTTGCCATCCTCCACTTCCTTCCCATTCATCAACTCCTCCCAAACTGTCTCTCCATCCTGGAAATGTGAATGAGTTAGTCATTCTTGGATTCTCGTCTGAATCGCTTACCATAATTAGGTCTACCCCACTGACAGTCAACAACGGAAATAAATACAAGAACAACTAAAATAAGCGAAAAGATATGCATGGTTGCAAACTAGTGCTCTCGAAGTTCTGAAACGTTGTAATACGATTATGAAGCAGCAAAAAATTTCAAACTGAAATTATCAAAAAAAAACTTTTAGAGACAATTGTGAGGATACAAATTTCCATAGACTGGAACTGGTTGCTCATGTTTATACTCATTACGCTGTGATGTGCACTTTGATTTTTGACGAATTTTGCGCACTGTTGGTATCGAATGTCTCATACTATCGTTATATTCGCTAAGAATGTTGCACTTCGATCTTAAAGTTTGCACTGAAATTTTATATCGAAAGTTGCAGGTTCTTCTGACAAGCAAAACTGACCTCTTCTTGAGTTTGCCAAAGGCCAGGAGTTCTTATAGTGACTGATTTGTCAGAAGAAACTTCTTTAAATCAAAAGATACTTACAATTGGATCAAAAGAGTGCGGTTCTTGTAAAAGGGACCATGAAGATTCCCTCGTGAAACGTATCGCCATATACTTAAGGGTGGCTGCTACGAGAGCGGTCCTAGCACTAAAAATGGAATAGTTAAGCCTTAAGCTCTTCGAATATTAGCTCGTTATGATGAAATGAAATGAAAAACCTTCTTTTATGACTGCGCGATAATAACTATGTGCAGTGAACAGCATGATTTATTCCCTTTTGCAATCATTGTCCATACAACTTCGCTTCATGATGATCTCTAGCTGAACAAGGCTTGAGTTTAGTCAACAATAAGATTATTAGATTAGGTTGGCTAAAAAATAAGTTCGGTCGTTTTTAACGG